CTCAATTTAAAGATCCTAAGGGCCAATTCTAAAAAAGAGCCTAAGGGCCAGCTTAAAATGATTATAGGGCCGAAGACCATTGAGAGTCTGAGACCCCGTTCTCGTTTAACTCGGACCCAAAGGCCCCGTTACACCGAGCTCGTATTAATTTTATTTTATGTTTGGCTCAGGGATCATCTAAAACCCTAAGGGGTATGATCTTGGGCAATAAAAGCCCAAGGGCTTATTACGAGTCTAAACCGATACTCGAACTTAGCATTTGAATCATCGGAATTTTTCATAAACGGGGACAAAGGCGACAGTCCTCGAGTTATTGAGGATTCTTTGGCTCAGGAGCCAATGAGATAGAGATGGCGATTTGACGGCAGTCCCCGAGTTATCGAGGATTTCTCGGCTCGGGAGCCATTACTTGCAAACTTGGTGCTTGATGACGTCCAAATCCACTACAAAAAAGTAATAGACACGGTCGCATGCAATATAATTTATCCAACTATGAGTCGGGGTCGAATCCCACAGGGAACAATGTGTAGGCGATTAGGAATGTAATAAAATTATCGCTTATCGCGCAATGCCAAACAATAAGAACTTGGTTTTGAAAATGTTTTATATCTAAATGCGGAAATGTAAACTAACCTAGAAAGCAAGTAAAATGATCAATGGCTACAAGTATGGTTGCATGGAGAATTACACTCAAGTAACGATCCAATGTATTTCATGATTTTATAAATATGAGCGAGTTTATGTTAATTAGCCACGGATAATAATTCTTAATTAGCTTCTTCCGAAGACTAACAAGACTTCCTAATTGAATTATCCCTAAAACAATTAGAAGATTAAGCACACCCGGAATGGCTACAAGTAATTCAATCCTATCCCTAGGTAGAATCTATAAAATGAGGGTTAACGCCTCAAGTTCTTGTTAATTAATCTTTCCCAACCCCAAATTATCTTTTCCAAAATTTATTCGGAGTTAATGGGCGAGTCCTAGGGTTAGCTAATCCCTTTGAAAACATTAAAGAACAAGAATAATTAAACTAACAATAACTCACTTCATAAATAAATAAAAATCATTCAATACATAAGCACAACAAGGTATTTAATCCACACTTTAAACATGAATATTTCCTTAAACAAGATTTAAGTGTTGAATAAAATACTACACACTTAGATATACAATACAAAGCAAGTAAATGAAGAAAGCAACATAAATGGGTAAGAAATTCTCAACCAAAAGGTTCAATCTTCAAGACCAAAGTGTGTGTGCAAAGCCCTAGCTTCCAAAACTTGTTCTCTCTAGCCCTAAGAATTGAAAATAAGCAAAAGATATTTTACAAATGAGCCTAATCGGGTATTAAATGGTTTGGGGATCAAAAGTGTGAAATTCCAGAATTGCCCATGCCTAAAGCACGATCTTCGCAATTGCGAACAAAAGTTCCCAATTCCCAAACTTGCCCAGACTGCCAAGGTTCGCATTTACGATGAGACCTTCGCATTTGTGAAGGTTGACTATCTAGGTTGACTTCGCATTTGCGAAGTGGTCTTCGCATTTGCGAATACTGCCTATTCTTGCTGAGTTCGCATTTGCGAACTCCTCTTCGCATTTGCAAAGACTGACCTTTATGGCTGACTTCGCTTTTCCCAAGCTCTGGTCGCATTTGCGACCCCCGAGGGCACTGCCCAGATTTTTCTCTCTTTTTGGCTTCTTTTGACTTGTTTTCACTTGGTTTCTTCACCATTACTTCTAAATCACAATCACCCTGTTAAATAGAAGTAAATGACATTAAATACATGATTTTATCACTCAAACATAACAAAAGTATAGGTTTAAAGGCAAGATAAAATACCAACTTATCACTGGGCAGAATGTTTAAAAATCGGGATTTGAGTTTATTTCACCAATTTTTCTCTTGGCTTGGGCGATTTTTGGAGCTGTTGAAGAGGGGGTTCCGTCATTCATCATGAGGTAAGTAATTTATGCTAGTTTTGAGTTAAATACAAGGTTTATATATAGATTTAGACATGGAAATCGTAGAAAACTTGGGGTTTGAGGGAAAACCTAGAAAATTAGTATTCTTGGATTTTTGACCACGATTTTGGGTATGGAATTTAGAGAAAATTATATATTTGAGTTCGCGAAGCTATGGGTAAACTTATTCTTCGAAAATTTTGGAAATCCGGGCACGTGGGCCCGAGGGCATTTTTGTCAACTTTCCGATCGGGGTTAGAAATTGTTATAAATTGGATTAATATGAGTAGTTTATCGTATATTAATGAATTTGCATGGTCATTGGCTAGTTTTGGAGTATTTAACATCGATTCAAGTCTTCAGAAAGGTGTGGCATGCCGGTTTTGGAACTTCGGAGCGAGGTGAGTCTCCTTTCTAACCTTGTAAGAGGGAATTGTCCCCATAGGTGAGTTAATTGGTTATGTACTTCTATTTGTGGGGGCTATGTACGCACGAGGTGACGAGAGTCCGTGCGTAGCTACTATTATGCTATTGTCCGGGTAGTCTAGGACCCAAAAGCATGCTATACTTGGATTAATTGTAAACTTCTCGACAGCTCGAATTGCTTGAATCACATCGAATCAGTAAATGAATTTCAAAAATGGATTAAACCTCTTTTCTTGAATTGTTAAAAGAGAAGTGGCTTTTATTTGGATAAATTCTTAACTGGCTATCTGAGCATGTTTTTCTATGTGTACCTGCGTCGCATGTATGATTCGTGAGCAGGGTGATTGTTTATTTTATGTTGACCGCGTCGCATGGATAGTTCGCGAGCGGGGTAATAGATGCATCTATGGTTCGCGTCGTTCGACCCTCGGCAGTGCACAGTTTATTTTCTGTTGGATCTGGCCGTACGCCTTGGCATGATTTGCGCATGCTAGTATTGCTTGCCTTGAGATTATTTGAGATCGATATTTGCTCTCCCCGACTTCAGATAATTGTAAACTAATGGGTTATGAACCCAGAGACCCCTAATATAAAAAGGAACTTTCACTTGTTCGTGATTTACTTGAAGTTACTGTCATTTTTAATAAATTCATGATTATTCGCATTAATAATTTATCATTATTGGACCACTAGTAAGTGTCGAAGTCGACCTCTCGTCTCTACTTCTTCGAGATTAGACGGGATACTCATTGAGTACACGTGGTTTTCGTACTCATACTACACTTCTGTGCATTTTTATTGCACAGGCATATGCACCTCTGATGGCCTAGTGGACGTAACAGCATGGTTGACACGGAGACTAGGTGAGCTGTATTCCCTCGAGGCGACCCCCAGCCAGTATAGTCTCTCTCAGGATTTTATTTATTTTCTGTCCAATTGTATTCCGGACATCTGTTGTACTTTATTCATTTTTTTTTCTTAGAAATTGCTCATGCACTTGTGACACCGGGTTCTGGGATGGTTTTGAAGTACTTTGTATTAATTGTTTATCATTTAATTTGAATTGAAGCGATTATCTTTTTTTACTTATAAAAATGGAGGAAAATCATAGATTTCAAGAGTATTAAAATGAGAATTTAAATAAGTAATTTGGTTGGCTTGCCTGACGGTGTCCGGCGCCATCACGACCCTTAGTGGATTTTGGGTCGTGACTCCCTCATTGCCTCGTTCAAAACCTCCTCGGGAGAACCCAATCGGGACACCTGGGTGAGGAGAAGGAGTACGACCTAGGGGACGTCATTTTCCAGAAGTTGCAATGTCTGAGGTGGGCAATATTCAAGATATTTTTGTGGTAGTTCTTTCACTCCCCACTTGGAATGCTTCTTTGCTCGCTTGCCCATGCAACGCTTGTGTTCCTATTTAAGCAAACAACAGAAGGTAAGCCAAGATGAGATTTTCCTTACCTCGATCCGATGATTCGATGAACGAAGGTAGCCTTATAGCGTTGTTCGCTCTGCCTAGCGTTTAAGTGGTTGATGGAATGGTGGTTTGTGGATTCGGCAGCCGTATTCGGCCTTCTTTTCTTCCATTGTTTTTTAACATGCCCTGGCTCTGCGTGGGTTGGGTTTGCCTTAGCTCGTTTGTGGGTCATCCGGTGTGTGGATCATCCGGTGCGTGGGTCATCCCATAAGATGTGCCCATTCCCTTATGGGATTTGCGCAACAGGTGCCGTCTTCTCTTGCAAGCTTTGTGTGGATATTGATTGTAACTTCTGCTTCTATGTAGCATCATGATCTAGATTAGAATGTGAGGTTTACTTACCACTCTTTCTGGTGGATGATTGTGTTTCACCGGTTTTGGATCTGAAGGAGACTAGGAAATTTGGCTAAGAAATCCCCACAGACGGCGCCAAATTGTTTGACCAAAGATATTAAAATCTTTTTGATTAAATCAATTAATGATAATGAAGGGGTAAATCTTAGTCAAGCATAATCAACTTCAAATCTAAAAATGTATAGCAATACATTAAATGAAAAGTAAGAACAATCAATATTTATTGATGTTAAATATCTCATCTTTGATGAGATAGAGAGAAAAATCAGTTTACATCCTTCGGAGGAAGAAATTGCAAGAAAAAGAGTAGAGAGGAAAACGTCGCCCCCCCCCCCCGTTTCCGTACGAACTCCCCTTCCTATATATAGTCTCNTTGAACTGAACAAAGGAAGTAAGGATATGAATACTCCCTCTTCTGAATGATGAACAACCTGTTTATCAGAATATTAAACTGCGGGCTCAGGCCCTATATATATATATATATATATATATATATATATATATATATATATATATACATATATATATATGCACAACTGCGGCCTCTGGCCCAAGTATACGTATACATAACTGCGGCCTCTGGCCCAAAGATGCATAAAGCATTAACTAGGGGGGTGCATTCGAATCGGTTTATCGATAAATCGAATCGATTATTTATTATCGAAATCGAAATCGAAAAAATCGAAACCTTATTGAAACGATAACGATAAGCATATGTACAAATCGATAATCGATAAGTAATTATCGATAAGGGTCAAAATCGAATCGATAAATCGAATGCACACCCCTATCTATTATTGAGAACAATAAATGCTTGAAAACTGAGTGGTCATTTTTCTGAGAAGGGACGAGCAGAATTTTTTAAAGTAGTTTTACAATTACACCAACTGCATTGGCTCTTAAGCTCCTTGCTGGTGATGTGCAGCTGCAAATTCCCTTTCAGTGTGGTTGTTATTAATCCTGGAACTTCATTGTCTTGATATCTGAGGAGCTTTCTTTCATTAGATGGAAAAACTACAATATGTGCTTGCATTCTGCAAGCCCCATACAATACCTGAACCATATTACACATTTCTACTCCAGAAGTGCTTGATTTTTTATCAATTGCAGCTCTGCTTTCTGTCTCTAACACCCCTTCTCAATTTCAATCCTCGTCGTGTTTTTGTTTATGCATGTGAATAAACGAGAATCTTTTGATAGTTTAAAAATTCTTCATGTTTAGAGCTGTACAGTTCTCAGCAAGTGTCTAATAAAGCATTTGGGCCTTTAACAACCTGAAGGCCCCAATTTCTTTTGCATATTACCAATGTTGTTTTTTAACTATAAAGATATGAAGTGTCATTATTTGATAATTATTAGAAGAATCACCTAATGCAGTGATCGGTATCTCTTGAGGCAATGGGAACAGTGTGGACAGCCCAAAATAGTCGTTACATGCAAGAATCAGCAAGAAATGTAAGCAGGTGATCCTAATCTATGTTTCTCTGCCCTTGGACATCACCAACGTCCATGCCTACTTGTGAAGAATGTGTCATTGTGCGTTGAAGAATGATTGACACTGTTTTATATGCTCGGAAAATGTTCTATTAGGAACAAGTTGAAGGAAGCAGCTGAGAACATTGGTCTTCCAACTTTTGTAGTTGCTGATGCGGGACGTACACAGGTATCCTTCCCAAGGAATAATGTAAAATTGACGATGCTTATGTGAAATATACAAAAAGTATATTGAGAACATGTCAAAGAGGCTAGCCTCAGCACAACAGTAGAGTTGCTCCTTGGTAACACTTTCTTCACATTTTAAAGCATGGAATTGATCTCTTTGCAAATGGGGAAGGCTGCATACAGTATACGTCCCACCCTCCACCTACCTCCATAGTAGTCGGGGAGCACTTTATGCACGAATAATCTCTCGCATTCAACATGTAGTGTAATAACTGTGAGATATAGAGAAGAGAAGTTGTCTCACAATACCTACAATCTCTTGGAGTTTAATGTGGACATAACTAAGAAGAAAACATAAATAGAACGAAATGATCCATATGGGTGATATCAACTGTTAAGATTTAGTTGTTGGTATTACACTTACATCAGGACAAACTACTAAACATGAATATAGTAATGAGTAGAATAGATACAGATGGTTTACATAAATGATTCTAACTAATTTGGGATTAGGCATAATTGATTGATCCGCTCAGAACATCTGAATATTACAAGGATATGCTGTAGTATCTATGCTTGTTGACTGCATTCAGTTGCAGAAAGAACATTTTAGGCATGTGATCTCATCCTTCTCATCACAGAAGAAGAGCATGAGTTCGTCATAATGTGGGTTAAGTATTAAACCTGGAGACCATGTTTGTTGAGTAGCTTGCATTAAAAGAGTGTTTTGCTCTTTTCTTTTCTTCTTTTCTTTTTTCTTTTTTCTAGTTGGCTAAATGGTTCTCTTGCTTGGAAGCTAATACCTAGTTTCCGAGATTTTACTGCTTCAAGGCTGATGAATATCTTCCTGCTTGTTTATTATGCATTAACAGTTCCTGTAATGTGCTTATGTTTTTCGGGATTTTGTATGATGCAGGTTGCATCAGGTTCAAGGACAGTTCTTGCAGTTGGACCGGGTATACTTCTTATCTGTTTGCTGTATTCGTATTGTTTTTTTGGTTATCTTCTATTACTAGTATACTATGTGGCTCTACTTCTGCAGTTCTGTTGCTGTTTTCAAGATATACTTTACTTTCTGGAACTGGATTTATATTCCATCTTATTTATCTATCGGAGTCGATATGAAGCTTTAAGGCCCAAGTATTCTGATACTCAGGTGTAGAATGCTCACTTCTGACTAGCCAGTTATATGGCACTCAGACTAAACCACTGCATATCCTAACCGCTCTTGTTTACACTTTACAGTTGTAAGATCTATTTGAGAATTGTCCCCAGATCATCATTTGCTCGTTTCATAAAAAAATGAAATGTTTAATAGTCTGTTTGGCCAAGCTGGAAAAATCTACTTATTTTGAAAAGTTGTTTCCCAAAAGTGCTTTTGGGAAAAGTACTTTGGAAGAGAAGCAATTTTTGTTTGGCTAATCACCGTGAAAAGCACTTTTGAGCAATAATTTGTGTTTGGCCAAGTATCAAATTACAAATAACATGAATATATTTACTTAATAGTTAATATTATAAGTAAATAAATAATCTCAAAAAAATTATTATTAAAGACAATAATTAAATCTTTTCATTTTATTTAAGTAAAATATGAAAATAAAATTAAAAAGTATTTTAATTCTTTTAAGATGATTTAAATATATTAAAAATCATTCAACAAATATAAAAGCTTTCACTTCAAGTCACTATATATTAGAAAGCTATCCTAAAAATAAGAAGAAATACTTATACATTAATATCCTAAGTATTAGGTTTAAAATAAGTAAGGTTATTTTGGTATATACTATATTTTGTTAAGGGTATTTTTGGTAAGAAGAAAAGTCAAAACTGCTTCTGCTTTTAGGAAGAAGCTATTTTTTTTCTGCTTCTCAGAAACTTGGCCAAACACTTAAGTTGAGAAAAAAAGTACTTTTGGGGAAAAAAAGCACTTTTGGCCTTTGGAGAAGCTTGGCCAAACAACCTATAAATTCCATTAAATACATTAGCTTAAAAGGAATTTTCTTCTGGAAAACAACCTTTTTAAGGATGTTAAGAAATCATTTCAAGATGTAGAAACAATGCTGCCTGGGAACATCTAATAACAATCCTATGGAAGGGAAGAAATTTTTTGCACCTTTCGAAAAAATCAAATATGAATTCTGTTATTCTTGAGGGATACCCTTGGTTCGCCATGGGCGTTTTGTGAATGATATGCCTTCCGTAGCATGCTGGCTTGGTTGATGTTTGCGCACGACTTCTACTCAAATCTGTTTGATGCTATGCTCGCAACTAACTTTATAATTGAGCAGGAAGCAAGTCAGCTGTAGATTCAGTGACTGGAAAGCAGCGTCTCCTTTGATGAGATTGATAGCTTCTATTGGAACATGTCTCNGTGGAATACAAATCCAAAATTCAATTAGAACCAATGACGCAAAGAGGTTACCTATAGCCTAAAGAAAGCTATTTAGTGAACCAAAAATTAAGTCTAAAAGGTCATGACATTTTTTACTTCAATCGTTTTCTTTTTCAACAATCAAAAATTCATATGCCAAGGTTTAAATCATATTGGTACCAAGCAAGCCACAACATGGTCAATGGGCACAAATCCCAACTCAAACCCTTTATTTTCCTAATTTAACAAAATCTAATCCTAACTACAAGACTAATTCCCTTAAGAAAGTTGTCAATCTATCCATCATCGGAAAAGTCGACAAAGTTTTTTTTTACAATTACCCGGTTCAAGAAGAAAATTGGCATCCTTGAAAAAAAGAACCGTAGGTATAATGAAAACCAAGATATCGACCACTAACACAAAGCACACTAAAATAAAAAAAAATTAAGAAAGCTAATAAATATCAAGTAACTAAACATACTAATATCAACTTGCTAATATAACACATGATAGAAATATACTAATAACAAAATGAAAAACAATCACAGTACTAATCCGCCAAATATCCACAGTTATGCTAAAATAACAGCTATACAAGAAGCCACCCCCAACCAATGATATTGCATTGTCCCTAATGCAACAAAACATGATAGAGTAAAAATGAAGGAAAATGCTCCCTGAATACTGCATCAACTGCTCTCCTCGCTATCTGAGTTAGAATCATCCTCCTCTCCTTCCTCCCCGGGCCACTCAACAGGAACCTCATCATCCTCCACAGCCATGGTCGATGGTATCCGGTCCTGAGGCTTAGGACCTTCCACAGCCCCTTCACACCCTTCCACATGCGAGTAAAGAATTTATCTCTTTTCTTCTCCCTTTTTACCATCTGGGTGTGGGACTTTTCCAGGTTATCATGTGAAGTGCTCAATTCACCATGCTTCTTGGCCAGCTCAGTGTATGCTTTCTCTAGTGCTTTTGAGGTGATCCCCCTGCTTCCTTTGATCTTCAATGTATTTCTGGAATTCTTTCTTTGAGATGTAAGCAGGTCCCTCAGATGTCTCCCCAGGTCCCTGGGGAAGACCAGCCACTAGCTCGCGAATCACTCGCATCTCCTCGCCAAGCACAGCAAATGGTCCTACTGCAGAGGATGACGGCTGACTACTCGGATCAACCTGAGAAGAAGAACCCAACTTTCTTTTTTTGCTCTTAATTGCGCCGCCCTCTCCTCTCTTCTTCAACGGATGCAGTGGCTTTCCCGGATCTATCCAGTTGTCCCCTAGAGCCTCTTCCACCCCAGCAAGCTGACACAACTCAGTGATAAGCGATGGGAAAATCAATGAAGGACTGTTCTGCATCCGATACTCCCTCAGTTCATTGATGAAGAGCTCACCAACATTCAGCTGAATACCGTCAAGAATGCAGGCTATCATCTGAGCTCGTGTGACTGGGACGTTCCATATGTTTGAAACAGGGGAGATACGGCTGCATATGATGGCGAGCCATATCTTCGCTTCGGCAGTGAATTCTTTTGATGTGATCCCCCTTTTCTCAGCTGCCCATGGAACCTCTACACCTGGGCATAATTTTGACACCAACCACTCCCCTGAAGCACAGTCTTTTGCCTTGAATGGGGCCATGTCGTGGTGTGGCAAATGATAGAAGTTATTCACAGTTTCAGCCCCAAAGTGCACCATTTTCCCCCGAATCCTCATCTGGGGCTTTTTTAGCCGGATTGCTGGGAGGTTTGCATAAAATTCCCTCACCCATTGCTCATTTGCTCGGCAAGGTTGAGGGGCAAAACAGTTCCATCCCATGTCCATTAGTCTTTGATAGAACTCTGGGAGACGTTCCTGGACATCATCCATCACTATACCGCTTTCCGGGAGCACCTTCTTTGAGATCAGGTTTTCAAAGTACCGTTCTTGACACTCCAATGACAAGAAACGGTGTTGGTCAAAGTTTTGTTCAGCTTCCCCGGAGTTGTGACTTGACGATCCTTCAGAGTTCGCGTCCATTTTCCAATTATAGTACCTGTCAACAAGTGATAAGAGTGAAAACATGGTATGGCTATGAAGAATAGTGCAAAATGAAGCAAATATGCCAAAAGAATGATCGGACAGTCGAAACTCAGACTTAGAAAAAATTTCAGGATTTTCAGATTTTGAAGTGCAAGCCCTCTGATGTCGCATTTCCCATGATTTCTTCGCAATTGCGAACATGACAGGGCTGGGAATTGCGAAGAATTCCTTCGCATTTGCGAAGATTTCAGAAATCCCAGCTTTGGGAATTGCGAAGAAATCCTGGGAAATGCGAAGGTTTCAGAAATGGCTATTCTTCGCAATTGCGATGAAATCTTCGCAAATGCGAAGAGGACATCGCAATTGCGAGCCTTCGTCCCCAGTTGAGATTTTCTTCAGAGAAAAGTGATTAAGCCTAAAAATTTTCAATCCAAGCTATTTTTAACGAACCCAATCATTAATCAAGCATAAATCATGCATCAAACTTCATAAACAACCATGAATCAAGAAATGTCGATGGTTTGGCCAAGAATTTCATTCGGGCCTTACATCGAACACATAAAGAGCACAAAAATTTCGCTTCTATTTGACAAGTAGTTGGGTACTCA